ATATAAGGCTCCAAAGACTCACCGACAAATACGTAGTCCAGGCGTCCAGCCGACACGGGATTACCTCTGCTCCTAGTGTGGGACTTTCCAAGAGGGTGAAGCTTTCTCCACGCATCCGTCAAACCCAAGGTACTGATACACGTCTGAAGATATTAACACATGTTTATATTATGGTTTGCACGGGCAATTATACGCGCAGCCTTCAAAGCTATGTTAAAATCTGCCATACAAATAATACTTCCTCCTCGGCTATGGTGACATCTTGCTTTGTATGAGTACAGTCTAAATGAAACAAATTATTACACGTCAGTCTACCTTCTCAGCGTCCCGTGATTTTGCACACAGCAAGCGTCTATGGCGTTCAAATGCACCCACTCACCCCAACAACGGAAACTCGTCGAAACAACTACTCGGTTTCAGTTCCAGTTTATTATTTAGGCCACAGACAAATTACCTAAGTTCACATTCATTGCAACAAATCCTGAAAATAGATGATAAACAATAGATATTCAAATACGCAAAAGTAGGAAGCCCAGAAACCCCGGGGACGCTTAGTGACAGTTTCTGGTTTCTTTGGCGGGAAACGCAATAGGGTTGTGTGCCCCCCCCCCCCCACACACACACCCAAGCAAAAACTAACCTTGCGATGGGGTAGTTTAGAAAAAAAAAATAGAACATAGTGGTATCATTCCTAAAGTTCTGAGGAAAAAATCCTGACTTTGTTAGAGCTGTTGACAATGTACTAACACTTGGGGTTCATGTGCACCCCCGAGATGCGGTAAGGTTAATTTTATTCACAGGACTTATCTCCTCAGAAGTTAGAAGATCTACTGCTGTCTTCAGTCGATGCTACACGTTCTAGTGTACTCTGTGATTTTGCTTGGACCTCTTAGTCGTTGAGGAAGGCGAAGGCACTGGAATACCACAACGTTGGTTCATAAACCTGGTCCGTCCCTGCACCAGATTTTTCTGAGTCTCACACTTTCTTTAATTCCTTGCGATAATTTGTTCTAGAGGTATTGCTTTTTTTCGACATCTTTTCTTGTATAGTTTTTGTTTCTTTTCCAGGAATTTTTCAATCTATTCGCCGTAAGCTCCATATTTCTTTTGCCTGTTACTGTAATCGTCACACTAAATTTTCTACCGGGCTGGTAAAGTTTTGTAAACCTCGATACACTCGAATTGAAATACACTGTCTTCTTCTTTATCAGACACCCCAGACAGTACGAAATCTGAAAGACAATAAATGATTATTGCACAATTTAATTGATGGTCGCCACACGCGGTCAATTAAATTGTGCAAACAAGTAGACTAGCGCAATAAAACATAATATTTTGATTGACTCATTAAAACTGTGCAAATCTTCCATAGGCACATACACGGTCAATTTAATTGTCAATTCCGAGTATTGACTATTAAATTCCACAATATAATTGATCGTATATGGGCCGGTTTAAGGAATGTTTGAAACAGATGGTCACAATGTAAAGTAGAACTTTTTGTTTAAAGACAACAGAAAAAGAAAAACTGGTAAATCTAGTGGGTAATTATTATGATGGAAATAAACGGAGCACTAATTCTGAAATAAAAAGTAGTAGACACTATTGAGAAAATAAATCAAGGTATATCCCCCCCCCCCCCCACCAATCTTCATGACTGGGACAAAAGCTACAAGTTTTGATACAGTACGTCCGTAACTAAATTCGACGGTGTCCTTCTGAATAAAAGTCCAAAGTTGCAAGTCGAATCGGTCGTAATGCTTTTCTCCTCAACAATAAATGGTCTTCTTGGACAATGTCAACAGGGTCAGAAAACTGTTTTGACCCTAACCTCGTCCCCAAAATGAAACATCGTAACATCATCACTGAAGGAGTCAAACGTTCTTATTTTTGCCCTGGCTTTACAATGCCTTCTTTCATTGAATAATAATTGGATCCAGGGAACTTTGAGTTTTGAGCCCGCTGACATGCTGGGTACGTCCCAGGGGGTAGATGCGTTCTAATACCGTTGGGTGGATTGAAATGTTGGTGGCACAAAAATGAGGGCAGCTTGAATTTCAAAGGAATATTTCCTTGGTTCAGAGGAAAGCCTAGATAGATCTATGTGTGAGTGTGTATGTTTGTGTGTATGTGTGTGTGTGTGTGTGTGTGTGTGTGTGTGTGTGT